GGGAAAGAATCTCCCATCTGTGGCACTCCGTTGCCTTTGAAATGAGATGATCAGTCTGTTCTAGCCTTGTTTTCCAAACCACTGAGTGATGTGGCAGATTGTGTGCATTAGCTCTGAGGGATCTACAGCACCTCTAGGCAGAAGTCTGCTCTAAAGGAGGAAAAGACCACGCCAGCTGTTGATGTGAGCCACCTTTCTGGATCACACCCTTTTTAACTGCACCCAGTAATGACCAGTCCCTGAGCAGATGGGAATTTACCCGGGCTCAGCCCTGTGGCTGGTCAGGTCTGTGACCCTGCTAATGGCAGTTACTGCCTCAAGGGAAGAGGCCATACAGTGGACAGTTTTTCACACCCAGTTACATAGTTTGATTTGAACTCATTTTCCTCCTTTATGCCACTCTACTACCTGAGCCACAGCCGTGTTTTAGGGACTATTTTTAGATATTTTTTTCCTATTCAGCTGCCTCCTGATTGAGTTTCCAGGCAGGCTGAAGGTGATGTAATGAAGGCTCATAAACCGTTTGAGCTTCTTGTTCACTGTTGCCTGTATATACTGCTGTGAAATTCCTAATAGCTTTTCCAAACTTCATTAATCCCTTGTGTAAGATCTCTTCAGATATTAGAAAGCAGTAGTTGTCCTAGTTCCATATTAACTCAGAATCATTTAGAAGGATAATGACATGCTTGTGAAAAAGCACACTGTACTTGTGGCTCAGAATTGTACAGAATATGCATAGGCAAGGGAAAAGCTTTAAGATGGAAAGGCTTTGAATGAGCAAACTGTCTGAAAAGGAATTTGACTCTGCCTCCCCCCAGAATTGTTCTGGCTTTGTGTTTTGAAGGGTTTTTTTTGTTGGTTTTGGGGGTTTTTTTAGTCAATGAATTAAATAGCAGCAGAAAAACACATATTTTTGTGTACATGGTTCCTGAACAACTCTGCTACAGAAGTTCTTTCAATGTCTTTGACTGCTACAACTTTACATACACATCAATCTTGACATAAGGGTCGCGTGTAAAATGTCAGAAATCTGAGCAGTTCTTGATGCCACGTATGATTCTGTTACAGTAGAAATTAAAAATATCTAACAATTTTCCTCTTTCCACGGTAGAACTGTATGAGAAGACATCTGATGGTGAAAAAGTCATCTACTGGGAAGTGAAATACCCTTTTCCTCTCTCAAACAGAGATGTATCCTTTCAAGCGTTTTGTTCCTTTTTGCAGTTTTTGTCATCTGGTCATCCAAGGATCCCAGCAATGTACAGATTCTACTGCTCTGCTGCACTTGATTTAAGATCTTGCAGTCCTCATGTTACATGACTATGTATAGCATGAAGAACAGCATGAGTGCCTTTTCCCACGCACAGCTACAGCTCACATAGCTGAATTATTACGGGGCTGGTGTTTGTAATGGGATTCACTTGTCAATTCATCATATGTCACACTGACAGTGTTTTGACATGCCTCCTCAACCTGAAATACAGTATGTCTATATTCGTGAATGTCGAGAGATGGATGTTGATGGACGGAAGATCTGGGTTGTGTTAGCTCAAAGCGTGTCTGTTCCTCAGTGCCCTGAAAAGCCTGGTATTATCAGAGTTAAAAGCTATAAACAAAGTCTGGCAATTGAAAGTGATGGCAAGACTGGATCTAAAGGTAAGAGGTCAAGAAAGTGCAATCACAAGTCATGTAGCCGAAGAATATATGTATTAGCAAAATGCACAAAGAGGGAGACTGGAAATTTTAATCTAAACCAGTTACTATAAAGTAGATGTACTGAGCACTAGGAATATTTTAAAATGAATGAAGCTTTTGGAAATGTCCAGTGCACTGTGCTACTCTTAAGAATCTTTTATTTGACAGTTGGGCTGGGTAGTTAAGAATAGACTACTGACTGCTTCATTCTGCCCCCGCCCGTCCTACCCCCCAACCTCCAGCCTGCACTTCTTTTCCTGCGGCCAGTTCAGTTGGGTAGAATCTGACGCTAGCTGCAATCTGGCTAACTCAGCAATGATCCAAGTGTCATATTCAACAGATTTATAGATTTGAGCGTTTGCGTAGAGGTTGACTCCTGTCTGAGATTAGTCCTTTGAAGATAACCTTATTTTATAAGACAGGCTGCCTAAAATGGCTTGCAATAGTCTAAATTAATGTTGTGGCACCCTCAGCTTCCCAGAGGTTAGCTGGGAGTGGCTACACTTGTTTCACATTCCACTTCAGTACAAGTTGACTTTTTTGGTGAACAATTCAGAGCAGAACTGTTGTACTTGGTGATTCAGTCATGCACACTGACAGCTTCTGTCATATGCTGTTAGAGCTAATACTCAGACTGTGGCTGGATAACTTTCTGGTAACTTCTCTCTCATCTCTAGTCTATATGTACTATTTTGATAATCCTGGTGGCATGATTCCGTCGTGGCTGGTCAATTGGGCTGCCAAGGTAAGTCAAGGTTGACAGCACAGTTGTCTTTGGCTAGTCTGTTTCAAACAATGTATTCACTGTATCCATACCTGTCTTCTGCATGTTGGGTAGAATAATTTTTTTCTGTAACAAATGTATTGACCTTTCTAGCTCTTATGCAGTCCCATTTTTAGAGTCGTTAGAGTCCCATTTTTTTAAAATTCCCGTCAAATTCCTTTGGTTAGTCAACTAGGTGGGTAAATTTGTGCAACAAAAACAACAAATCCATGTTCCAGAGCATTTGTGAGTAGCCTTAACACAAGCAGAGTTCAATAATGCAGGCTGTTCATGGAGGATTAAGAGAACGGTCTGCTGCTTTGTACAGGATCTTAGAATTGTCCTGTATTTGGTTGAAGGCCTTAATCTATATAGTGGGAATTCTCATCTTACTTATAGTTTTTCTTGACTACATTATGCAAGAATGACTTTTCCACTTTTCTCTTTACAGAGTGGTGTGCCTACTTTCTTGAAGGATATGCAGAAAGCTTGCCGTAATTATTCTAAGAGCACATAGGTCAAAGCTGATCTGAATTATTTAATTCCTAGAGCTCTACACTTACAGGAGTGGCTATTATATATTACACTGGATAAAAGCTACCTCTGATTTTGGGAATGATTTTATTTTGGTTGGTTTATGCCTTTAATTTTGTTAGATCTTTGTTTCCATCTCCAGCTGAAGAGCTAACCACTGACAAGGTAACACCAACATCAGCTGCATCCTTTCGAAAGTGTTTAAGTTTAGCCTTGTCCCCCGCTTTGCTTACGCTGATCGTCATGTGTCAGCTAGAGGATTTCTGTTGATTGAAATGTTACATCCTCAGACAAGAGACAATGATCTTGCTGGGAAAAATGTCTGAACTCGGACTGAAAATTCTCTACATATGTTATGCCTGGATCTGCCTTTGTGGCCTTGCAGGGTGGCTTCCTACTGAAACTGGATAATGGAACTTGCGTGGCAAGTCTGCAGCAGGAACTGGAACTCTGTGTTACTGAGCTTCCTTGTGATGGCTTTAAGTCCAGATATAAAAGGACTAGTGCCTAAAGCCTTGCATTCACATCTCAATACCCCTGATGAGAAGTAAAAACCATTAGCTGAGTCCAGCTAGGAAAAAAAAGGCGGAGTTGTTACATCTTCAGAGTCAGCAGCTGTAGGTATAAAGCAGCTCGGATACCAGCTTTAAATTGGAAGTAATTCTTGACTGTAAGTCTGCAACTGAATGTGAATGAACTTGATGTGAAACCTGGGTTTGCTTGCATTTTTAAGTTTCATGCTGATGTAAAGAATTAAACTGTAATTTTGGATGGTAATCCACTAAAAGCGTAACTGAGCAGGAAATTAAATTTCCAGCACCTTTGTTGGGGGCAGGATGGGGAGGATGGAGTGCATGAAGGGTGAGAGGGCCTTGATCTCAGGGATTTAAAATATTCTGCATCATTGCAAAATCTAATCCTGTTACTGAATCTTGTAATGGGGTAGCTTTGTCTTGTTAAAAAAGAAATGGTGGAACTGATTGCCTTTATACTTTGTGTAAATATTTGCTTCCAATAAATCATTATTCTATCCATGCAGTGCTCTTGTTCCATCCCTGACATTTAAAAGTGGCCATGCTGGACAGGTCACAAACGACAGGCTGATATCATGGGCTGTCTTGTTTTTAAAGGCTTTTGAAAGAGTAACTTGGATTCATGAGAACTAAGTAGGATTCCATGTGTTCTGAAGAGCTTGCTGCCAGCAGTTCAGGCATTTTTCAAGTGTCTTTGACTTGGAGACCATTACTGAATTGAGTATTACGGTGCTAGACAACTTTCAGTCTATTTTGAATTTAGCTGTCGCATTTTTTTTTTTTCCAGCAGATAAAGAACAGACATCAAAAGACAATAGTTCTGAAGAATAATTCTCTTTAGCTTTCCATAATTTTTGTACAGGTACACTCACTGGAACTGGAGCCAAAATTTTTATTTATGTGTACCAAGAATTTGATGGTGTTTTACTTGAGTATGTAACTTCTCAAATTTCCTTTTTTTGGCAGTGTTTAACAAAATTACCTTGAGAATTCAGAAAGCATTTTAGCAGTGTGCTAAGTATGTAGGGATTCAGACAGATGTCATAAGCAATCACAACAATACCAGAGTTGTATCCACATCCTGTTGTTCAACAGCAAGTTATGTCCTGAAGCACAGCAGCAAAGGCGGGACTAGGTAGATTGTTCAAAAAGAAGACAGAAAAGCAAACAAACTATTCTAGACTTCTTGTAACAGAATTTAAAAGGGAGACTAGCTAAGCATGGATCTTCCTGGAACAATGATGCAGACTAATTTATTTCCAGTTCCTTCTGAGGAAAACTGACATCTGTACCACAGTAGTACAAAACCTGTCTGTAATTGTAAACCTACCTTAAAATTTCGAGTTTCAAGGTTTATGAGAAATGTGTACCTACTGAGGTGAGTACGTGCACAGAGATGAATCATGTACAGATGAGGTAAAATTTTTTATTCTTTTTCTCCAACCAATGCAGAATTTTGTTTCATGAAAGCAGGAGGAGAGCAAAAGCATTTTATATTCATGAATTTATGATTGCATCTTTGTCATTACAGTTATTTGTCACCAAGACGTAGTATACATTTGTCTGCAGGGGGCTGGAACAGTCACACTGAGCATTTAAGAGGCTGAATGGCTCCATTGTCAGTCTTGATGAAAACTTGATTTCCTACAGACCTCACATGGAGAGTATAGAATACATGGCATTTGCTCACATTTGCTTATTAAAACCATTGCCCAGGCAGCTTATTGTGCCATACACAGCTTTCCAAATTAAAATATGTTTGATTAAACAGTAGCTACCAAAACCAGCTTTTTGTCTGTTCGCCAGCAACTAACCAGTGACGTGAGATGAATGCAACATCAGATCTTCTGTTGAATTTAGGGCTCCATGGGCTTTCATAGTGACATAAATGTGCTGTGACACTTCAGTTCATGTAAGGATGTGTTACTACACCTATCTTGCGCTACTAGGGAAGAAAAAGCTGTGACAGCTTTGTGTGATGTGGCTTCTTGTCTAAATGGGAAATTACAACCAGAAAGTGTTGGTATTTTTCAGTCTTTGGATGTAAAGACTTTCATAAAGCATTTCAGAGCTTTATTCATGTCTGATGAAATATTGGTCTTGTATAAATTATACATACATCTTGAATTTTTCTGGGTAGCTTGAACAGAAATTTACCTGCTGTGGAAGTTGTAAGTCATTATGCTTTATGAGTTCTGGTGCACAGGGTTAAAAAAATTGGAAACCCCCTTCCCATGCTATTTGTTAATGTAGCACCTGAAAGTTAGCTTTGTGTTCCCACCAGCTTGCCTAAAAATGGAGCCCAAATTTTGTTCTTTCAGAGTGATCTGTTGTAAACATAGAACTGTTTGAATAAAAACAGTGAAGCCTCTCATCTTCTGTATCCCACCCCCATTAACAGGTTGGTAGGTTTCACGCTCTGCAGATTAACAGGGACTGATGGAGGTTTCCTAGTAGCCAAATAGAACTAGAAGACTGCTGTGGTTTCAGGCAAAAAACAGGCACCTGATCCCAAGCACAATCAAACTTTCCATAAATTTTAATGAGTTTTGGATATCTTCTCATACAGAACTTTTATTTTAAAATATCAGCTATTACAAAAACATATTTTTGCATGTTGTTCTTCATATAAAGAAGTGGTTGTTTTGATGGGTCACCCATCCACTGTTTCCATAAGGAGTGATGTAACAAAGTGAATATAAACCATCCTTCCACATTGTGTTCTAGTCATTCAAATCCATTCTTACCATGTGATCTCTGTAAAACTGTTGTGTTTGAGTTGGAAGGTAAAGTAAAGGAAAGATTCGGAGTAACCCAAAGTCAACATAGTGAATGATGTCAGATACATAGTCACTGCAGTGCTGCCTCTCAGAAGATGGTGTGTAAAGGGAAACACAAGTTGTCTTTGCTCAGGAAACATCTGGTTGATACTTCATTTCTTGAGCAGGTCATTGGCTGTTTTTGTAATTTAGTGGAAAAAAAAGGTGGGAAGATAGGGGGATAGACTTCTGACGTTAATGCACACTAATAGACGATATATCTTTCCACCATCACTTTTGCTTTCCATTATGTTAGTTTTCTATGTATAAAGAACATTTTCAAGTGGGATCTAACGGTATTTAAATTTCACTTAGTGGATAGTAATCTCTCATGGAGTATGGATTTGCCTTCCTCTAGATAGGAGGATAACTTGTAACCAGATTTACTGCCCCACTGTAGTCTTCTGGTCAGAGGAGACTACTAGGCTTTCAGACTGAAAACTTTGATTTTCACTCATCTCTTAAAGGTTAAAAGACACTGAAAACTTCAATTCAAAAACAGAAAGGAAGGCTTACGACAGGAGGTAAGTTGTTATAAATCTGGATGGACTATATGGAAGAGAAATGCTTTTTAAGGAACAATAAGAACAAACCTCTGTAGCAAGATGAGTTTTGCTGAATTTTTTTCATACCACCCTGGCTTATAACTGCAGACTTAGGAGGAATCCTGACTAATAAGGTAAATAAAGCTGGCGTTTAAGCATCCTACTAATTCTTCTGTGCAGCTGCCAATTAACATATTAATTAGGATTACATATGAACACAGATGCACACATGCAGAGATTGTCATCTTTCTCTGTTCAGTACTCCTGTTCTTTGAGAACTTGACCATAAACGATTATTCTCATCTGGAATTTGAATTACGAAAGTGTCCTGGAGTCCTGCTGTGAGACAGGAACATTTTAAATGGGAACAACTCTCCGCTGGAAACCTTAATTTCCAAAGTAAGAAGAACTGCATCCTGTGAGTAAGTGTTTCAGTGGAACATGCCATAATAAGCAATTATGTTGAAGGGCCTTGAATACAGGTATTAATTTTAGCCTTGTGAAAAATTTCCTGCATCCCAGCTGTGCAACTAGTTAAACTGGAAGCTGTTCCTACAGTGAGTACCTGTACCATTAAGATTTACGACAATTTGCCTTTGTCTGTCCTCGCTAGATTTCATGCACATTTTAACATTCTTCTAGGGCCTATTTCATCACGGGGGCAGAAGATGTTCTATTATGGGCTTTGTGACACTGGAAGAATCAGTTTTTACCCTAAGATTCTTCATCTGTGGAAGAAACTCTGAGAACAAATCATTTTAATAGATTGTGTTGTTCCAAGAATGGCAAGTTTTGGATTGTAGCAGTTTTCTACAGTCTTTAAAGCCAGGGATTACTTATGTGCTGTACATACTTTCAGTAGATGCCTGCTGTTCAGTTACAAGGCTCGCTGCATTTCTGCCTCAGCCTGTCTTGAAAGGTTTTAAGTCTTTCCGTATTTCACCGAGAGTTGTGGGGTTTTGGGCTTTTAATATTCCTAATGCATATACAGACCTTCCAAAGCATGATAGAAATTGCATGTGACTGAAGTAAATGGATGTCTCATATGCACCTGCAACTTGGAGTTATGTTTTAAGAGTGGGCTTAAACATTTTTAGTAATACCAGGCTGCTGCTGTGCATTTTAAAAGTTAATGTGTTTTCTCAGCATGGAAGCCATATAGTTGATTTGTACT